TCTCACCTTATTTGTTTGCAATTGCTATGGAGGGACTTACAGGTATGTTGAGTAAAGCCTCAGAACAAGGGCTGATCCCATATCACCCTCTATGTAGCAAAATCTCCTTGAACCACCTCTGTTTTGCGGATGATTTGCTTATTTTCACAGTGGGATCAACAAGGGCAATAATGGCGATTAAGCAAACACTTGATCAGTTCTACTGGCAGTCAGGGTTAAAGTGTAACCTTGTGAAATGCTCGGTCTTCTTTGGAGGAGAGTCTGTCAAGTATAAGAAGAATGCTATGGAATTATTAGGATTTGCTGAAGGTAGTTTACCAGTGAGGTATCTGGGATTGCCACTCATATCAGGGAAGTTGATAGATAAGGATTGTGATGCATTAGCAGCAGCAATCACTAAAAGAATTTGTTCATGGAGGGCTAAAAAGCTCACCTTTGCTGGTCGGTTGCAGTTAATCAACTATGTGATTACAGGTCTGGTACATTATTGGCTGCAGGTGTTCATTCTACCTAAGACGATTCGTAAGCGAGTGCAGAAACTTTTTATAGACTTTTTTTGGCATGGGAATGATTCAGGTAGGGCTAAGATTGCTTGGGAGAGGCTTGCTCAACCTAAAAAAGAGGGAGGACTTGGTATTCGTGATCTCAGCTCCTGGAATTCTGCATGTTCTCTAAGGTTGTTGTGGCTTCTGATGATGTAGTCAGGGGCTATATGGGTTGCCTGGATGCTCCACTATCGCTGTAAGACAGGAGACATCTGGACCATGAAGGAGAATTCTAATAGCTCCTGGGCTTGGCGACGAATCTTAAAGAAACGATCCCAGGTACAATCTTTCCTCATCAGGCAGGGTGATTGTGCTTTGTGGAATGGTGTGCCTATGGATAAGTACTCGGTTAAGCTGGTTTGGAATACTCTTCGTCCCAAATACAGTGAAGTGCCCTGGTATAAGGTAGTTTGGGGGCAGAACTATGTGCCTCGATTTAGTTTTATTGCCTGGCTGGTTATATTAGATGGAATCACTACTAAGAATAAACTACTGCATTGGGGGAAGTTGAATGATGATGGGTGTGTTCTCTGTGGTAATGGCAGTGAAACGAGAGATCACTTATTTGTTACTTGTGAGTATGTTAGAGGATGGTGCAGGGATTCTTGCAGGTTGATCTGGTATGCAGATCCACATGGGCAGAGGCTTTGCAGGCGATCTGTAATGCTGTGCAGAGATCCCCGAGTAGTTCGATTGGTGTCAAGTGGTGTCTCCTGATTACGTATATTTGGCAAGAGAGATGCAGAAGGTGTCATGATGAGCAGGCTCGTGAAGCAGAGGCAGTACAAGAATTGATGAAGCAAGACCTGAATCTGTTAAGGATACAGTAGGAGTAGTAGACTTGTAACTGTTAAGTTGGCAGAGGTATTTTTGTTGTTTTTGCCATCTTCTTCTTTGGGGAGCCATAATGGTGACCCATTTCGTTGTATCGGTTTGGATTGCTTATTTGCAATTATTTACTTAATGAAAGGGTAACTGATTCAACGAAAAAAAAAAAATTCGATCGAGGGCTAAGCATCCGCTCGGCTCTGTTAGTCACAAGAATTGACTAATCGAATGACTTCTTAAAACATTGGACCTTGCGAGGTGAGGCCTCGGCTTTTGGGATTAAAAAACAACAAATAAGGCCTTTTTATTAAATGTCTCAATAAATAATAATTACAATAGTAATTGCAATAACCAAAAACTACTAAATAATATACAAACATTACATTACAAGTGATTAGTAGTAGTGACTTGTATAAAGGAAAATAAACAAATAATAGAGCCCATTAGTCAGGCCCAAACCGACTCAATTATAAGTCCAAACCCAACCCGTATCAACTTGGCCCAACTTTTCGAACCATAGACCCATCAACCAGACCGGTCGAACCAAATCCAACCCATGGCTGTCCTAATCTTTCCTATAAAAAAGACCCTCTTGCCTCTGTTTTTGGGGGACCGGTTATTGTAACAACACCCATTGTGTTGTTATTGTAACAACACTAGTCCCCAACCAATAGGAAGCTAGGATTGTGATGACTTTCTATTACATGAGTTGACCTAGTGTAAAATCAAAGCAGGGGTATAATTGTCATTATGTAAAATCTATTTAAATAAAAAAATAAAAAATAAAAAAATATTTTTTTATTTTCTGTCCAAAAATTTGGTCGTCGGAATTCTGCCACCGGTCGCCGGAAAATGGTCGCCGGTCACCGGAATATGCCTTTTGTCGCCGGAATATGCTATTTTGTGGCCGGAATATGCTTACCGGAGTCGGAATATGCTTACCGGCGTCGGAATATGCTACCGGCGTCGGAATCTAGTCACCGGGGCCGGAATATGCCTATCGGCGTCGGAATCTGCTCACTGACGGTCACCGGAGTTCGGTCAACGGTCAACGACCACCGGATGTTATGGTCTGCATTGTGAGATTTATGGTTTGGTTTCTCATATTTTTTTATGCCTTTTATGGTTTGTTTTATTGTGTTTGTGGTTTGCATTGAGAAGTTTCTGGTTTGTTTTCAAAAACTTTGTGGTTTGCATTGTGAGGTTTCTGGTTTGTTTTAATATATTTGTGGTTTGCATTATGACGTTTATGGTTTGCTTTTTTGTGGTTTGATTTACTATGTTTGTGGTTTGCATTAGGAGGTTTTTGGTGTGCTTTCGCAAATGTTGTGGTTTGCTTTGTGAGATTTGTGGTTTGTTTTAGGAGATTTGTGGTATGCATTAGGAGGTTTTTGGTTTGCATTAAGAAGTTTCTGGTGTGCTTTCGAAACTTTTGTGGTTTGGTTTGCGAGGTTTCTGGTTTGTTTTAATATATTTGTGGTGTACATTAGGACGTTTTTGGTTTGCTTTACCGTGTTTGTGGTTTGTATTAGGGGGTTTCTGGTGCGTTTATAAAAATATTTGTGGTTTGCTTTTTGAATTTTTTGGTCTGTTTTAGGCAATTTGTGGTCTGGATTAAGAGGTTTCTGGTGTTTTTTATATGCTTTACGGAATTAGTGGTATGCATTAGGGATTTCTAGTATGCATTAAAAATATTGAATGGCTAAACATTACACTAATTTTACTATCATTGCACTAATTTAAAGTATACAATTACTCTTACTAAAAAAAGGTATACAATTACTAAAATTTCCTTTAACACAACCAAAATTGACAAAACAAACAAAGCCTTAAATCCCTAAATAGTCATCTTCGTCAAAACAAAGTGGCTAAACTCCCTCCGCCGCTGCACTCCAAGCGATTTCCATTGCTGACAGGCAATCACCTCCAACCATGGGTTGCGGCAGTATAGAGGAGGGGTCATATATGCATGGCTGACCTTGCGCGTGGGGGATATCTTTCCAGGTGGCGATGAGCTTCTTGATGGCGACCATGTTGCGCTGGACGGCGGTCAGGATTTTGAAATCCTACGAACACAGTGGTCGGCGGTGGGCAACACCATGGGGGGAGGGGGTTGAGTCTGATTTTTACCGAGATCCAGAACAACTTGATTGTGTTGAGAGAAGTGGATGATTTGGCTAAATCGTGGTTGGATGGTTGCTGAATTTATCGAGCAGCCAGAGGGGCCCAGATCAGTGGCGATTACAGGCGCTATTGGAGGGATTGCGGCCGTCGTTGCTGTCCCTGGAGATACAGGTTATTTGTAAACATCAAAATCAGGGATCCATCGTCACTTTTCATTGCCGGAGATCGGGTTTGCGAGGCGCCGCCGTGACGAGATCTACAACAGAGGACGCCATCGACGGGGGAGAAATAGCTTGGTAGAGGCGTAGCGACAGTGTGGAGAAGGTGAGTTTCGCGAGGAAGAAGGCGGCTTTCCGTCAGCGATATTGGTGAAGGAGACAAACATGTTGAGTATCCCGGCGACGGCGGCGCGTGGGAAGGCTGGCAGCGGCGAGTCGGCTGAAAATGTGAGCACGGCCATGGCGGCGGATCCCAAGTTCAGAGTGGCGGTGGCGGCTGCCATTTCATCGCTCATTAATAAAGAGGCCTCTCGATTTCACGGGCAACAACTGCGAGAAGAGATCGAGAGACGGAGAGGGGAAGGCTGGGGATTGAATATTTATTTTTTTAATTTTAATTTGTTATTTTGTGTAAGTTTACCCTTTTACCCTTAATGAATCTTGTTGTTAGTATAACAACACTATGAGTGTTGTTATACTATCCGGACCCTGTTTTTGGGGGACAACAGCAGACAGAAAAAGAGTGAGGCGGCATAAACCCTTGGCAGCTAACATTCTTCTTGGGATGAAAAAAATATCCGTAACCGTGGATATCTGCCCAAATCTGATCTAATTGGGTAGGGTAAAACTCGAACCCGAAGGACTTTTAGTGGGTATGGGTAAAATCCGAACCCGAATATTGCGGATAATGGGTGGGCATGATTTTCTCACTATACAACTCGAACCCGCCCGATTATACACATGCATATGTATTTTGTCTAGAAATAATCAATATTTTTCTCTAACATATTTTATATTTATCATATGAATCTAATTTTCAACAAAAACTAATCAACTCCATTCAAACTACAAGTTGACAGATTTTGTTTAAAAAAATGAGTGAAGAACCACCAACAACGCCATTAAAATTACAAAATGTAAGCCTCGACATAATAGCAAAATAATCAACCAATCAGAGATTCAGTTTTATGTTATACAACACTTTCCCCTTTCTTTCCCCAAGCAACGTTTCAGTCTCCTCTTTTCATACAAGCATATTATAAGTAAAATTGTATCTATATGTGCTAGAAGTATGCTTTTATTGGAATGAGTGTCTTACTGTGTTTAACCGGGAGTCAAATTCACACCATACATGCCACAAACACCCATTTTCAAATTCATAATCAAAATCTTTCCCAAATACTAAAAGAGAGCAGCACGATTGAATCTGGGTTTTAGAATCATAGAACACTTATCTCAAATTCATGCCTGTTGCTAGTTAACCAAAAAAAAAAAAAAAAAAAAAACTCAGATTCAACAAAGCATACCTAGCCAAATCTTCAGAATCTGTCCCTAAATTTTCAGAATTCTATATCATAAACGCCACATTGAAAACCTTTCATTATAACAAGTTCCGGATAGGCTAAACCAACTTCAAAATCACCAAGACATCTAAATTAAAATGTTCAAATTGAGAGGATATCACCTAACCGGGCACCAGGTTTGAGAAATCTGCAAAAGAAAGGGTTAGGTCAGAGTCCGCAATTAAACCCAAAAGAATCCAGAAAAATAAGATAAAGGTTTAGAATTGGCCACCATCGAAGAAAAAAAAAATCTCACCACAAAGGGACGCCGGTCTTCTCCGCCGCATCAGTCGCTGGTGGTACGCCAGTCCTCGCCGGTGGTGACCTCACTTTCTCCTCTGTTCGTTCTTCCTTCTCCCCTCGGTCTGACCAAAAGAGATGAAACCCAGAAATTGCGATCAGAACCCTAAACAGCTAATCGAACCCAAAAGATACATGCATGTCTAAAAACTTACCAGAACCTTTTGCCATCGGCAGAACAACTTCCTCGCCGCCGGTGAGGGTTGACACCGGGTTGAAATCAATCAACCCCTGCTTTCTTTTCCCTATACTCTTCTAACCTTCGTCGCCTTGCCACCATCGTCGGAGCCGATCTCGTCTTTCCTTCCATCATCGTCGTCCCCATCGCCGTCGTGTTCTATCCTCCCTTTACCATCGCCGATCCTAGAAAGAGAAGGGAGAATCGGCAAATTTTGAAAAAGAAAGAAGTAGATCGATGTCGGGGAGGAAAATAGGCTGATCGAATCGAAGAAGGGATTGGTTACTTTGCTCTTCTAGGGTTTTGTATTCTGTGGTGGAATCTATACATAATATTATGACAATTCAAAATTAAATTTTTGCCACATAAGCACTTGAAGAGATCTTAAGTTGCCAAGTTGGACAATTTTTTAAAAAAAAAAAATAGTTATTGAGCTATTTATGGAGTTGTCCCTCTCTCTTCATTTAATATTTAATTCTCTTTTATCCAATAATTATTTTGCTTTTGTTTTTGCATTATATCTATATATAACATATGGAGAGAAATGTTATCAAACTGGTTTAGCAAGTGGAATGGTTTTACCAGTGGTACAACCAGTTAGTGTCGGTTCATGTCGGTTAATAAAATATGTAAAAATATAAAAAATCTTTAGTATCAAATGAATTTTATCATATATAAACCATATTTGAAAACAATTTACGTACAATTCATATTGATATTTGAATAAAATATAATATTTCAAATAAAATTACATGTACTCATACTTAAATCACTAAAACTACGTATTTTACTTAGAAATTCGTAAACCGGTCATACCGATGGTGTCATGTCGATTTCATGACCGGTACCGACTGAATGGTTCAACCGGTGGCATGCCGACCGACGTGACAATCATGATGGAGAGTGACATATATCACATTTTGTTTTTCCATTATATCGATGTACGAAACAGTATACTAATAGTTGATGAATTTTGACTTCATATTCTAGGATGAGACACGAGATCTCTTGAAAAATGAAATGTGTAAAATTTAGAAAAATCTTTGTTAAGGATGTACGCTACACATCATATTTCATGCTAAGAAAAATCTAAATTCGACGATTGAGGTAATAAATAAACATTAATGGTTTACTTCACATATATAACAAAAAAAAATTTATAGTTACAATAGTGTAAACCAAGCTATTGGGTTAAAAGATTAATATTTAATAAATATGAGTTTAGTAAGAAAATTGTAACAAGTCTATATAGTTGTGAGTCTGTGATTTCATACCAAATTTTGGCATATCATATTTCAACTAAGGAGCTGACTTCAAAGGTATTAATTAGTGTTGAAAGTAAAATAAACTCTCTGTATATATATGTTTAGATATTAACAATAGATGTGTCTAAAATACATCCAATAACTTAAATACATGTGAAAAGCCATAATGTTTGTATGAACTTTTAAATTTTGCTACAAAATATTTTGTTAAAAAATTATAAGTTAATTATTCAAGGAATACATAATTTTGAATGCAACTGAAATATTTGTCTGTCGTATACACACTTTACCAATTATTAATATAAGTAATGAAATTTTTGTTCTAGAACAAACACCAAATATAAAGAAATTTTAGCGAATGGACATTCAAATAGTTGAAAAATTATACATTAAAGGAATATGTTAAGATGAGAACCTTCGATAATGTATATGAATGCCTTGGATTCAGATTCTAAACGAACATCTAGACAAAAGGCATGGGTTGAGGGTTAGTCCAAACTTAAAATATTAGCAACTGATATATATTGTAAGATAATAATTTGTATCTTGATAGAAAAATGGTCATAAGTTGCTATACAAAGACTTCATGAACATCAACGATAAAGATGAGTGAGGTTTAGAGAATTTAATCATTATAAGGGATACGATGTGTGTCAAATTTCAATTGGAATAAACATAATTTATCCAGTAATCAAGTATCTTTTCCAATAATTTGAACTCTGATTAATTGGCTGAGAGTTCGTACAAACTCGAGGATTATGAATTGATGTATGTTGTATAAGATAATAAATTTGAGCGTCTTGGTGGAATTTTTTTTATATACGATCTTAAATGGGACGTGATAAACCTTTATGACATGATTTATGATCAGAGAATAAAAACATCACAAACGAGTGTGCTAACTATTAAATATTAAGAATTTTTGGTATAGAAATACCACATATTCACTTATGAAGCGAGAACATAAAATTTATACAAGATCCAAAAATTCAAACATATAGATAAGTTAACTAATATAAATAATCAAATGAACTTCTCCGGCCAACTGGCCGGGTAAAAAACTAGTTGAAAGAAAAGAGAGGAAGTGAAGTTGGCGGCGCTAGATGGCAAACATGGAGCTTAGGGATTTTTCAAGTTAATGAGCGGTTATATATGCTAAATGACCCTTCTGCCCCTACATTACCACAAACTACCCGCTACCATCAGCTCTCCGTTTTACCAAAATGGCCAAAATTAAAACCCTAATGAGTATAAAACTAATGACAATGGTACCAACATTAACCCTCAATTAACAAGCTTAACCAGCTATGGAACGACAATAGTGGAATTGGAAAGTGTTTGGGCACATTCAGCGACGGAAGAGGCGCCTAGCAAAACATCTAGCTGCAACGGAGTTGGGAAATGAGCCAGGCGCCAATACAAACTCATTGGAACAAGAAAACAGGCTTCGGCAGGAGTTAAGGAGATGCTTTGGCAGGAGCATCTTCTGTGGCTGCAGAAATCTCGTTCGCAATGGACTGTACAGGGCGATTGCAACACCCGGTATTTCCATATTTCCACTTTGAAAAGGAGAAGCTTTAACAGACTTCGAGGTCTGGAGGATGGAGAGGGCACTTGGATTTATGACGAAGCTCAACTACGTAAACTAGCATTTCTACGTGGAGCTTTTCCAAGGTGATTCGGGACCTGGCATGCTGCTTCCTATGAGTTTCAAAGCCATAGATCCATCCCGGTGGAGTAGTTTGGTACGCGAAGTAACTCGAGAGGAGGTTTGGGTTGCAGTGAAGAGCATGGGGGGTCTAAAAGCCCCGGGGAAGGACGGATACCCTCCTATTTTCTACCAAAAATGCTGGAGGGCAGTGGCAGATTCCCTCGCTAACTTTGTGGGAAATTTGTTTGGGAGGCCGGACCGCATAGCTGAAGTGAATGAGACTTTGTTGGTGCTTATTCTAAAAAGAGAGCCCTGAACTCATTAGTTAGTTTCGACCAATAGGATTATGTAACATGGTGTATAAGTCCTTGGCTAAATGCCTGGCGAACAAAATCAAACCGTTAATGAGGAGCCTGATCCATCCCACCCAGTCGAGTTTCGTTCCGGGAAGACACATCAATGACAACAATGTTATCCTGCAGGAGGCGGTTCATTCGATGCGGCTAAAGCAGGTAAACAGGGGTGGATAATCTGGAAGATTGACCTTGCCAAAGCCTATGATTGGGGGGACTGGAAGTTTTTGCAGGAAACCCTCCAGGGAGCTGGCTTCCCGACGCACCTGATCAACGTCATCATGGAGTGTGTCTCGTCCACGACAATGCAAGTCATGTGGAATGGTTGTTGCGCAGACAAGTTCAAGCCAACCAGAGGCTTGAGGCAGGGATGTCCTTTGTCGCCATATTTGTTCACCCTTTGCATAGAGCGGCTTAGCCATACAATCTTGAATGCAGTTAATGCTAGCGAGTGGAAACCACTGATTATTTCCCCAGCTGCACCCGCTCTGTCTCATCTATTTTTTGCTGACGATCTGATACTGTTTGCAGAAGCCATCACAACATAGAGTCGAGTTATTATGGATTGCTTGGACTGGTTTTGCATGGCATCGGGTGAACAAGCAAACAAGGAGAAGTCAGTATTGTTTTTCTCCAAGAACGTGTTGGGCCAGGTGAGCAGTTCCATTGCTCGGGAGACGGGGATTCCGGTCACGCAAGACTTGGGAAGGTACTTAGGCGTGCCAGTTCTCCACGGCCAGGTCACGAAGGAGACCTACAGGTACATCTTAAATCGCATGGGTAAGAAACTGGCTGGTTGGAAGGCGGAAAATCTTTCCTTTGCAGGTCGGGTTACTTTGCCGATTCAGTGCTCAACACCCTTCCGGCTTATGCTATGCAATCCACGTTGTTACCAATATCTATATGTGATGAAATAAACAAGAGAATTCAGAGCTTCATCTGGGGAACCTCGATGGAGAAGAGAAAGATGCATCTTGTTCACTAGGAGGCAATGTGCAAATCGAAAAAAAGAAGGAGGGTCTCGGGCTTCGTAAAGCTCATGAGCTGAATATTGCGTTTCCTCGGATGGTGGTGGATACCCCCAATGATTGGAGAAGCCATGAGGGTCCATGATTCAGATCTGCACCAACAAAAACAAAAAAAAAACACCCAAGTGAAAAGCAAGGGCGGAAAACAAAAGAAAAACGCTAAAGTAACAAACTTCTGCCTTTCCTAATAATCTAGAAAGTCCCCGGCAACGGCGCCAAAAACTTGACACGCTAAAACACAACACCTAACAATGGCCAAGTGTAACCAATGAAAGGGACTGCAGTATAGTGGCACAAGTAATAAATATCGAATCCACGGGTCTCTAGAGTTACTATTACTCAGCTTCAGTTCATTATCTAGCAAACTAGATTAAGGATTGATTTATAAACTACTCTACTGACTACTCTACTAATTACAAGTTGGGAACTCACTTAGGTATGATTCCCCCTAGCTCCTCAATTAGGTCCAAGTTGCAATTACCTTTGGTTGATCTACTGTTGATTAAACTGCGGAAGATCCTAAATTAGCTTGGAATCTCTTAAGCTGACCAAGCCCTCTCAGTCCAACTACCCGGCAGACGACTAGTCTTCACCAGGATAGAAAGCTGAGGCTATGAACACAGAACTCCACTACTGGAATGAATTCCAGTACAAAGCAGTGAATTGATTGACTCTCGCACAACCAATTCCCCATTATCAATCAAGGAAGCTCTCTTAACCTAATAAGATTCTATCTATCATAGGTTAAAGCAGAAATCAAGAGAATTTGATCAAGGTTCAATTGACTCAATAAATCATGCCTCAATCGATTATAATCAAACAATATAGCATCCAAAACTTCATACAAGAAAGATCCTAACACATGGAACTAGGGTTCTTCAAAACCTAAGTGAAGGGAAGTTACTCCATAGAGAAGAGAGAGACTGCAGAAATCTGATCTAGATCTTCAATCTCCATCTTC